AGGGATTGCTCGAGAAGGAGACTGATGGCGCGGCCCCAATCCGCAGACTTCTCGCATGAAGAAAGCACCTCTGATCAATTTACAGCATGCATCATGAACGTGATTTCGCACAGCCTGAAGTGGACCCTCTTAGCGAATCCTGAAGGAATCTTGCAATATGCGCGCAGCAAGCTACAAAGGAGCCAAGGTACAGCCCCGCAGATTGGCGGCTCTTCCTTGAGCCCAGCAGTGCGCAGCCTCAGATGGCGTTCTGGCGAAACGCTACTCTCCTTGCCAGAGCTTCGTTAGACTGGTTGCCAGCTCTGGCTTTGCGCATCTACGTACTGTGAAGATTACTCTGACTTCTCTATGTAGCAGGACGCCCCTGGCAGCTTTGCTTGGGAGACGCAACGACTCTCGGCTACTAGTACCAGCAGAATCGGTTTCCTTGCTCTCTTCTCTTTCTGCCTTTTTTCGCTGCTAGCGTGCTTCACCGATCAAATCTTGGTACAAGCAGCCTGCTCCATAATTCAAAGGCTCCCTGCCACACCTGCCCCTTGGCACAGGAGCTCGTTGCAAGCCCATACACCACAACCTAAGTTTGATCGGCAGGCAAGCTGCAGACGGCTGCCAACCAAGTGGTCTATTATTGGGATATACAAGCAAACTGCATGGATGAATTTAGCATGAATTCGTTTGCTTCTGGTGTGGGGTCAAGGAGGGATCTTGAATGAAGCCAACTTAGCAGGATATTGACGTCGGCACGTGCAATCTAGACCAACTAGTTGCACCGAGACTTTGCTTCCCTCACTTGGTTTCTGGCACTTGGACGAAGGCTGCCCGATTGCAGTAACATTGAATTGACCTGCTCTGGTGTCAAGCTGGTGGACAAGCTGAGCATGTTTGACTAAACAACCTAAACAGAGCATCTCCACCTCACCAGCTTAAATCAACAAGCCTCGACGTGGCATGTCCATTCTGCATATTCTGCTTTGCTACATGGCTGCTAATTACTGGACCTTGCACCTGACGCTGAGAGACTGAGTGGACATGGAATCTACACACAGATCCACCTTCTCCCACTGTGAGGCACGATCGCAGGTTTGCATTGCGGACCCACATGACACAACATCAAGCTGGCAATGGGAGTGCTTCAGCCCATCAAAATATTCCAAAGCTTGTTCCCACCGTTCACCGACAGCACTCATCACAGCATTAAGAGTCGCTACCGTAGGAGCAACGTCCCAGGCTCTTGCTGAAGCAGCCAACTGCACTGCAAGCTGCCAGCGCAGCATCTTGCAACAGGCGCTTGTTGCGGCACAAAGTAGGATGCCGTCTGCTGACAGTCCGGTCTCCCGTAATTTATGTACCATGGACACTGGCACACGCCAGCACGTAGATCCTTCACAAGCACTGATGACTGTACTGTAAGAGACCACATTTGGTTGTGGTCCACTGCGCTCCATTTGCGCGAGAATCAGAAGAGCCTGAGCCCATCGGGAAGGATGAATAGATAGAGCGACGTTATAGCAAACGGTATCCACTTCAGCCTTGTGCAGTTGCGCTTGATCGAGCAACCAGAACGCCTCCTGCCACTGCCTCTCTCGGCGTAGTGCAACGAGAGCTTTCCTGACATGAACTATGGCAGCACTGCAGCAACATGCCCATGTCTTTGGTGCCTGTGCACCAACTACCAATAAATGTTGAAGAACAATTCGTTTCGTGGCAGAGCACGCGAATGCCTTGGCCCCAGATGTCCATCTTGGATCAAGCAAGTGCTGCGATCTTTTCCAACCAGTGCCTGCAAGCATTTCAGCAATTGGCGCTTAGACATGCGCAAATGTAACCAATACGGACACACTGATATACTGCAGCGCCGGGGCACCGCTGCGAAGGGATGTTGTCGGAACTACTAGAAATTGGGCTGATTTCGCAATGTTTGTCAAACCAGATTTGCACAAAAGCAACCTCGTGCGCAGGTGCAAGTGGGAGCACTCGGGTCGCATGCTGCTCCAATGTGCTGGAGTTTGCGAGTCTGGAACACGACGGAGCAGGTGCAACGGTTACCTGACGGGCAGGTACCTGACGGCTGGAGCGGAGATAAGTATGATAACCCCACACCCCAACGACGGAGCATGTGCCGGTACTCAGTCACGTCGGGTGACCACCGACCCAATGTGCAGTACACCGTGTAGCCCCCTCTGCGCGCACTCCAACCACATGTAACAATGTACGCGGGTGCTGTCGAACCAACAATTCAAGTTATTCAAGGACACTCCCAGGTGGGTTTACCAGGTAGGCACCCCCCACATAAGGCTGACAAAAGGCTCGTAGAAGCGTAATCTGGCTACATTATAAGGCCTAAAAAAAGGCCATCCATGAGGGTATTCACCTGAAAACTACCCACCACAGTTCCAGTTTTAAGTTCAAACATGCTTCCGTGAAAGTTTGCCATGGTGTTCGCGACATGTATTTGTGATTTCTGCGAACAGGTCATTGTGTCATGAGATTTTTGGATAAACCCCATATGTTCGCTCGTGTTCGTTGATTTGTTTTGCTATGTTTAATTCACCTCGAGGCTCTGCTGGCAGCCCTGCCAGAACGCTGAAGCGGGCTCGCAAAGCGCTTTTAGTTGGCGAGAACCACGCAGGATGAAGTTGGATCCCGCTTAGCGTGGGGTTCCTTATAATTGTGCGAAGCTTCGCCAAAATTATTCAGCACCCCCCTGTTCGTTTGGTGTCCCTTAGTTGTGTGAAGTTGCGCGGCCAAAAATTAATTCTGAGCCGATCCTGATCCCTCCTATTGAATTGTTAATCAAAACCTGAAATCCAGGTATTGTTTGGGGGGTACCCCCCCTCCGCTAATTGGGAACCCCATTTTGCTTGGGAGGGGGGGTCCCTCTACACTAATCAGGACCCAACATTACGGGTCCATGCAGGGCTCAGCTACGTTCAGTTCACATTTTGCTCAAGGAAAAAGACCCTTGCGTGCAAAGAGCTATAGCTTCCGATACTTTGAAATTTAGAGTTCTTTCTGCGAACGCCATGGCGAGCTATCGCGTGAGGCCGTCCAAGCCAGCCTGTGGTTGTTTTCTAATAAAGGCTTCCCACGGATTTTCGGACAACCCTCCTGTATGAAGGAATTATGCCCCTATCCAAACTTCAAACCAATATTCTGTGAACCCCCTGAAGTCCTCCTACCCGAGCTAGCCCAACATCTCTGTAGCCCACTACACTAGACTGGACCGCAGAGGCGCCGCCAGGTATTCGACGCACGCACATCTCTGTCTACCAGGCGGGTTCCTGGCTGGGCCACACCGTGTCAGGTACGCAATCTGTAGTTGTGCGGCACGCTGGCGCTGATGCATGGAGTGCGTGGGAGGGCAGTAGTTGAAGTGCATCGGGCACAGCAATCCTTGCGCCGGGGTTCTAAGGGCAAACTCCACCCAGGCGTAGTGATGTGCTACAGGAGCCCCAGTCGCTGCCTGTTTGCGACCATATGCCGGTACATCAGTAGATACTGTGATGCTTGGACCATTTGCAAATATTGTCAGGCAATGTCTATACCTGACGCCTCAGACGAAAGCAGCACAGGGCTATGCATGATTAATGACACTTGATGCAATAGATTCGGCCACGCTGCAAGCTCTCAGCTTACTGCTGTCGACCATTGCCAAACAGTGACATTGACATCAAAATCTGGGAACATCAAGCGGTGGGGAGTCCAAATGCGAGCTGGCCAGCAGTGCCAAGGCCCACTGCCAGAACTCTCATACTTCGTGGCTCGGGGCCTGGCAGCCAATGCGAAGGCGAAGGCACGAGCATTGCACATGTCATAGCCAAGGATTCCCAGACTCAAATACCACCCCGATGATTACTCGGAAATCCCGCAACAAGACTCAACAAGCTTTTTCCAGCCACGTGACATTCAGGATTTCTGTACGCAAGCACAGCAGAAATGGAGTCAGGGCAGTGGCTCACGCCAAACAGCCTGAAGATGCCTCTAACTGCAGCTGCAAGCATGGACCCATGCCACGGATGATGGTATGTCAAACACACAAGCCTGTGCTACACGAGGTGATGCCGCTTTTCTGCTGATCCAGTGGATGAGAGTGCCTCTGCTTGATTACACGGGCTACAGCTTAAAACTGGTTGAAAGTGAAAGACCCTTTGACTCCGTAGTTTATTCCAAAACCACACCTGCAGCGGGACCAAAAATTTCGCACATCAAACTTGCAGCTGAACATGATTTGATGTGCTCAGGAAACGTCATATTCAGAAACATACATGCGAAGGCAATACACAATATGCTATGCACGGTTTTAATTTGGTGTCCGGGCTAATGGTCATTGGAAGACTGGTGCGGGTGTGTGTGTGTGTGTGTGTGTTATTGTTTTCCAAGTTTCAGGGTATGTGTTGACGTTATCGTCTTTGGTGAGTTTGCAAACAAAAATCCTCTGGCATATCTCATTTGAGCCGCGCATCATATATATTATCATTTATAGTTCAAGGGACAGCTTTGCGACTGCAGCGCATCGCTTGGCAACATTTGAGGTTTTTGGCAAGATTGCTGTCATTGCTGTTGGAGCAACTCCATCGGCACTTTCAACAGGCCCTTGCTGTTGCCAGATTTCCGATGATCTGTACAGGCTCCCGGCCAGCCCGAGCTTTACAAGAGGTGGGCAGTTGCCATGGGCAGAGAGAGCCACCAAGTAGGCTCTCCGCGAATGAAAGCACAATGTTGCCCAGCCATGCGTCCTGTACTGGATTGCTTTCACCGCCGTCGCAACTTAGTGCCCGCTATCCCGGCTGAGTCTTCTTTTTCGTTGCTAGAAGGGAAAGGCCGGTGCATGGCGAATCGTCTGAACTTAGCTGCGGGAAGATCTGACGATCCATCGAAGCTGGTTCGTAGAAGGTGAAACCGTGTCTCGGCCTTGTGAGAGCAATCCTGTTACATTGGGGCAAGCTGCTGAATTCTTAAGCAGACTAGCAAACATGACCGAAGCCGTCTCCGTGCAGCCATTAGCATCCGGCAACAGCTAGACGGCTCGGGTCGGGAAGCGTGCAATGCTCCACTGACACGCTGGTATGTGCAGCCGTTTTGTTCGCCTTTGGCCCGATGTCCTTGCTGATGGCTTCTCGAATGGCATCTGCAAGTGGGCGGCAGTCCTGACAACAGATGCGTAGGAACTGCGAGAAGGCAATGCTTTTGAAGTCATGCCGCTCCCACAAACATATTGCATGCCAGCATCGAGAGGGAATCTGTGGCCGTGAGGGTGACGCAGAATCCTTGGGAGCACTCAGGGACCAAACATCTTGAGCTGTTGAAGTGCACGAAAGCTGAACGCAACATGCGAGGCAAGTGACACACCTGCGGCCGCATTGGCCTGTTGTGAAGTTGCACCGTACCATTCCTGATCAATGATGTTGTGCAGCGTGATTCAGCCAAAAGCCAAAGCTGCCGCAGCCTCCAAGCCCTGCACTTAACGCCTGAATGTGCAAATTGACTCGCAAGCCGAGATCCCAAACCGTCAGAAATTGTCCTTCCCAATTCTGGAATTTGCTTTTGCATCGTGGCGAGGCCCGCCTTGGCCAACTCCTCACTGCCACGACGGTCGCTGTCACTGTCGCCAATCACATGGATCGAGGCAACAGGCACTTGACGTTGAACCTGCAGTCAGGTCTTCCTCCGGAGGAAGATCAGAAAGCCCCATCCCCACTCCACTGCAAAGGCTAAAGAACGGAGACGGTAAAGCCCGGCTATCATGGAGACCTCCAGATGCAGGTCCATGTGCTTCTGGATGCTTGAGTAGCTTAAATCACATAGATTCGAAGATATTCCAGGCCAAGCCTGCTGGCAAGTCGTAATTGAGCACAGTGCAGGCCTTGCTGCTGCTGCCGCGGCCAAGGCAAAAGCACCCAGGCCGGAATTCATCTGGTGGTATGCCACACACACAAATGACGAGTCGTGGCGGTATCACCTGGCTTGTAAGAGGTACAGGAAGAATGATAACATGTGTGTTTGAAAGAACCACCCATTCACTATTATGCATGCACTTGTAATAAGTTTGTCATGCCCCCGGCAATTTGTGTTGCAGTTGGCATGTTCTGGCTTTCGTACCTGAACACTTGCCTGTAGATATCGCATGGAACCTACTGTGCCAGTAGCTCAGCATCCGGCATCTGCAAGCTCTGCCTTCAACTCCTGCCGAGCCTCCCAGACAATCCAGAGCTTAGCGTGCCAAATTTCACCAGCCAAGACCAGTTGGCTTTCACAAACTAACTGCGGCATCATCAGCCTGTCACATCTTAAAGATTTAAAGATTCTTCCCAGGTCGAGAACCAGACCCAAGTCCACGCTTGTCAGCGTCATGGCACTTTTTTCAGCGCCACGTGCATGTGCTGTATTATGCCGTACGACCTTTTAGAGCACCATGCTTAGCAGCGATAGAAGAATCAAAAGATCTGGGGAGACTACGCTGGAGAAGCCAAATGTGCAAGGTACTGCCTAAGAGGGGTTACGTTTACCTCAGGTGTTCGACTGGGGACAGTTTCAAGCATCATCCAAGGCCGTTGCCTCTGCATTGCCCCGCCCTGCAGCATGAAGGGCTGCCACGAAAGCGGAGGCGCAAGCGGCACCCTGTGGGATTGTTGACTGTGTTCCATGCCACTGTGAAGGGGGTCAGGGGTCATTTTGGAACACAGAATGCCGTCATTTTGGAACACGGTTTAGCGTCATTTTGGAACACTGACAGATTAGCGTCATTTTGGAATATCAGAAAAGCGTCATTTTGGAACACGAGGTTTCTTCCCCGGGCTAGGTAAGTATATTGCGGAACACTAGCGGCGTCATCCATGATGCTGACTACGCAACGATGCAAGGCAAATTGACTCGAACCTGATTATCATTAATTTGAATGCTCGTTACTGCTCGTTGCCATCAGATGACATGAGCATCCATTCCCAAGCCATAATAACGGTCATGTTCGACAGCATCTGATTGCCAGAGTATGTATGCCACAGCTACACTAACGCTCATGTTTGAGAGATTCCGATGACCCCAGCATCCATGCCCAAGCCATAATAACGTCCATGTTTTGTAGATTCTGATGACGGGGCATCCATGCCCAAGCCACAATAAATAATAATGACCTTCATGTTCGAGAGCACCCAATGGCCGGAATTGCACTTTCAGGGCCCCTTTATGAAGCCGGAGACTTTGTTTATAGTCCTTATTACTGTAGGGCACCCTTCCAGAATCCTTCCTGAATATTGCACTTTCCGGTCCCCTTGTGGAGACCCGTGAAGCCATAGAAAGCCATAGAAACCATGGAAACAATGGAAACCATGGAAACCATAGAAACCATCGAAGCCATACAAACCATGGAAATCATAGAAACCATGGAAACGTGGCAAACCATAGAGACCATACAAACCACCAGAAGCATGGAAACCATAGAGACCACGGAAACCATGGAAACCATAGAAATCATAGAAACCATCGAAACCATGGAAACCATAAAAACCATGGATTCAACAGAAACAATAGAAACGATAGAAACCACGGAAACAAACCATTGAAACCATGGAAACCATAGAGACCTGTGGACAGCCACTGCTCCGCGTTCCAAAATGATCCCCTGGTCCGCGTTCCAAATTGACCCCGCTCCCCTGTGAAGGTCGTGGACGGAAATGGAGCTTACATCACTCAGCACCTCGAAACATGATTGCAGATTCGCACTCCCTAGTCATGCCTCAAGATTTGTGAGCAGTCAGGCTGACGCTGCAGTGGATTCTCTTGGGCGGCTGTGCAAAGAGTTGTCCGCACCTCCGAAAAGCCAAGTAAAGCATCGAATGGCCCATGCGCACCTTAGCAGAAGTTTGCCGTTGAAAGCAGCAGTACGCCAGTACACCTGTGTCTGCTCGCTTTGCTCGCCTGAGGCCAGTAGCTCAGTAGGACCTGCTCGAAGCCTGCTGCTTGCACGCTTTGCACTGAGGCCGCGGCGGATGTGGTCTGCTACGTGTTGCACAGCACTGCGCTGTCCAGCCAGGCCATCCAATGGTTCCCACCACTGGAAGTAGGGAGGCATGCACTCCTTGCACTGTGAGGGAATGCAACGTAGCAGAGCGAGAGGATAATATCAATGAAGATAAATGGCAGGATTGGTGAAGCACCCTAGTTTCATGACCCTATTGAATTCTTGGTTGTACGTAGCCAGTCTGAGCACCTGGTGCAATTCCCGTGCACGACCCTTTGCACCTGCTCTACGTCGTCATCTGCAGCAAGCATGCCGGAGATGGGCCTTTGGTGAGCGATGATGAGCGATGTTAAGAGTTCACACAAAATCTGCACCCAGGGTGTGACACGCATTTCTGGTACTTGGGTTCTTCGCTGCGGATGTTGAAGGGCGTCAGCGAGTAAGTCTCCCGCCCTTCCATGAAGGAAAACTCCACCGCTCCTCCCAGCTTCGCCTTCAGCTGCGCCATCTGCCTCTCCTCAAAGCAAGGCTTCATTTAAATGGGAGCTGCAGGGCGTCAGGTTTGAGGCAAGGAGCCAGGAAGGCCGAGTTGGTGCGCCAGCCGTGCAAGCACAGGATGCGGGTCATTGCTGTGATGCCTGCATTGTACGCTTTGTAGAAATCAAGTAGAAGCTTCCACTTCTGATGCTTCGTCACTGAGCTTCTGGCCAGGCAGAAGCTAACAAAGCTGGAGCTGCTACACCGTGGCTTGAGTCAAGCATGGGTCGGCACTACGGAGCTCAGTGATTTGCAGTTCCCATCAGCTAGGACAGCAAGAATCCAGGCACCGCCCTCATCCTGAGCAAGCTTTCTTCAGGACTCGCAATCGTCGTCCATCCCCCCTATCCACAGTACCCTTTAGGGTCTGCGCACAAACATGACTATTCCAGGCCGTGGCCAGGCTGAAGCAGCAGCCATATCTTGCAGCAACACAAAGCAGTGCCATACAAAAATGACCCGTAGCGTTCATGGCAGTGTCCAGATTTGGCGAAATTGAGGATGAATGTCTTTGCATGTGCTTGGACTGTGATGGTGGCTTCGGATATCCTGGATATTCATCTTAGTCATTCATCTGCCCTCGGACTGATCACCACCAAAGACCACCGTCTTCGCAAGGCCAGGAGTGCCCTGCAAAGTTGGGTCGAATGCGCACTTGCGCGCGCGTTCGGCCAAGAAACGAAGTATAGCTGAGAGGTAGGCTACCGCTGTCGAACATTTGCTTGTACGACCACCTGACAACCCGCCCGCTGCAAGTGCAGGTGTGAGGGTGCAGCCCTTGCCGCCTCATTGCGTGGCACTTCTTCGAAGGCCACAGCGCCCTGAAAGCTCAAGAACGGGTCTTGCCAGCATGCCACATCACTCTACTTCCTCCCATGTAGTGGACCAGGAATTCAACAGACTTGACAGGCGTTATCTTTGCATAGCTCAATGGCGAATTCGACAGTTTCCAGACCTCAGTGAATCATACATACAACCATTCCGGAGACCTCGCGTGGTGTTGGAACGACAGCGAGCGGCACCTCGAATATGTTGCAACACTGCAGAAAACATTTCTTTCATGGCTTTGGCGCTGCAGAACCATGCCAAAAAAAAATGTTCACACACTCTTGTACAGAATGCAAATCCGACATGCTGTTGCGCTACTGAACAGGCCATCACTTGTTGCGCTTGCTTCGTTTAACTTCTGCTTATGCCGGCAAAGAACCACAAAACTGCGCTTCACATTGTGACAAAACAGGCTTGTATCGCCTGCCTCTTGATCAGCAACCGACGTAGACACCTTGCATGTAGCTCACCGACTGCCAAGTCTCTTGCGCATGTAGCATCAACTAGCCAGAGGCACAGCCACACCAATTGGCACATTAACTTGACTTAGCCACAAGTTGGGCCGCCAAGCAATTGTATCAGACTCTGCGGCGCAGCCAGTCACAGACTTTCCATTAGATGCAGGCTACTGTACATGCCAAGTGGTGGCGGCTGCGCGTCTCCCCCTGCTCCAGTAGCACCAATGCGCTCAGGACTTACTGCGGCCGAGTCCTCACAAAAAAGAGGAGAGAGAGAGAGAGCGTGATGGAGAGGGCAAGGGTGCCGGTGGGGGAGATAGTGGGAATGGGAGGGAACGAGCAGGGAGGCACAGAGGGATGGAGGGAGAGATAAAGAGACTGTTTGAGTCCCTACTGTGAAGTCGTAAAGCGGAAGCCCCCATTAAAAAATCAGGGAGCAGTAGCATGCATGCGCATAGTGAAATGGATGCGAAGCTCATGTTGAATTATGGACCCTGCGCGCATACATTCGCTGCATGGAGAGAGGAAAAGATACAGTGCCAAGAGGGACAGGAAGGAAGAGTGGGAGTACACTGCAGACGCGGTGGTGGCAGAGCTTCCAGAACATCAACACTTTCCTGGGCTTGTGCGAAAGGCATGCAGCTTTGAAACAAGCACACGGCGGCCACATACAATACCATCAGACTGCTTGCACACCTGCTCGGAGTCTGAACTGCCGGAACCGTTCTCCAAACTGGCTGCCTCAGCGAATCAGTCGGAGGCTGCCAAAGCACAAGCAACAGGCTCTCCAATGACTCCTGGATAAGCGGACGTATGGACACTTTCAGAACAAGACTGTTTGAGCAAAGCCCAACCTGTCAAGCACTCAAAGCTGAAGCTACCAGCTACCTGAAACCGTGGCCGTCAAAAAGGTCAGGTCAGGAAGCTTTGCGAAGCTGCGGCAGATAGACACCATATTTCCCACCAACCTACATGATAGGGCACTCGCAAGATCCCTCCGGCACAGAGGGCAATTTCGATTGACTTTCAGCCTGAGTATCAAAAGGCTCTCCGTACATGATGTTGCACGAACAACTCTGCTAGCTTGAGGTTGCAGCCAGTGGATCAAGCAACCCTCGTGGAAGTAGTGGCCACCTGTGCGTTGGAGCAGTGTGGAACTCTTTGTGCCACAATGCTGAGTAGTTGTTTCCACTTGCCATCTGCTGTGACTCGGAGAGCGCTTGGGAAAGCGCAGACCGTCTTCTTGATTGCATGCTCCTTGTTGAAGTCCTGTTGCCGCATGATCATTTGACATGGGATCCCAAGCCAGTCAAAGACAATGCGAAAGACAATCCTCCATGCAAATTGGACATTGCAATGCATCGCCAAACTCCTCCAAGAGGGTTCGGAGTTCTCTTGAAACATAACTCAGTCAACTCCATACCTGACATTACCCTGCGGTTCCAGAGGGTTGAATGTCACGGTCTGCTGCAGGTCCAGAGTACCCTGCCCACACTCAGGTTGCTCAGGCGTCGAATGATCTAAGATGAAGGCTCTACGTGACCCTACGACCACCTCTGGGGCTGCGCGGTCTACCATCGAGGATGGAAGGAGGCCTCGGCCTAGCTGCCAGGTGATGGGTCCATTTTCCTCTTTTCCTCTCTGGTGTCAAAGCCTTTCATGCTCTAAGCAAGTCTGTTGATTTATCCACACGGTTCTCCTCCAAAAACGTGACAGGGCTTGCATGCTGACAGCATGTTGCAATGCTGGTAGGCCTGTCAGTTGAAATGGATTAGATGATAAGGAAGATTGGCAGCGCAATGGATTGAAGCCTGTTTCAGCGACGCAGGCTCAGACCAGGATTTTTTTTCGTGTGCAAGACAGGGCTGCACGCAAAGCTGGCGTTCAAGGCAAGACAATGGTGATGATACTGCCAATCAGAACCAAGGACGCCAAGGGAAAAGCTTCTTCATTTTTGCTTGGCACCTATACAGCATTATGTCTCTTCCTAGCTTATTTGCAGTGTATGTATGTATCGCCTGCGCAGCGCTTAGTCCCAAAACCAGAGTGCCTTGTTTGATGCCCTGACCCTTTCAAGCAGTCGTGGGGACACCAAGAGGCTGACGGAGGAGAGAAGCCAACATGTGTTGCAACCTGGGCAAAAGCCAACTCGCCGCTGTGCTTGGCTAACATATTCACCAAGAATATGGCCCGTAGGTAGACACCACCGTGAAGATTGTGAAGAAAACCTGTCACCAACCGCGTTCAACGCAAGGCTTCGTTGCCACCCATCCCACCCAAGCATATCACATATCTGCCACGAGTCGCGCCAAAGTTTCTCACAATGAGCCTCTGGGTAGCACACTTCCAAACAGGCAAGATAACATGCCAGCCCGGCATTGAAAGAAGCAAAGAGGTACGTGGCCATGAACATATTCGGAGCAGTTTGGTGGCACCTGCCCAGAACAAAACTTGAGAACTTGCAAGCAGCTTGCCAGAAGCGGTGTTGTCAGGCATTGCTTGGTACACTTCTGCAAAAAAGCTCAGTTCCGGGCGATAGACTGATGCGAGTCCAGTGCAGACCAATGCAATGCCACCTGTTCAGGGCTCTCTGAGCTTGCAAGTCTGTCACCAGCTTTTGCTGCCCCGGAAGCGTGTCAGCGGCACGAGAAGACAAAGACAGTGGTCAACCAGTGGTAGAACCTGGCTGCAGGCCATTGGGTCTTCTTCTGCCAAAGGATTCACTCCAAAACATGGTTTTTGAATCCGAGCTGCCTCAAAATCAATCATCGAGACTCTTACTCTTTGCTTCTCTTGGGACGCTTCATGTTGCGCTGACGCTTGAAACATGGGCCTCCGAAGCAGGCTGTCGGGTGCAAGGTGCTCTGTCGAAAGCTGTATACAAAAGATCAGAAGCCTTCTGCTCAGAAAAAATGAGCCCCATATTTATTGCATGCCTGTAGGGACCAGAGCGGGGGCAATTCACGAGACAAGTCTTGAATCTCCACATTTCCCTTCTGCCATCTAAACAACATCTGAGAATCGTAGGAAAAGAGGACAGAATTCGACAGCTCAACTTTCCAGCTTGCAGAAAGAGCGAGTCTCCAACTTCCCAAATCCGGAAACTCAACAACTTAACCCTGAAATTCACTCAATTGATAACTGGATGTCCCACATGAGCAGCGATGAAAAGTTCTTGTCTGGCCTGGTCAAAGTCCCATCCCCATTTTGCAATCTCGTTCTCTCTCATTGTACATCCTCTGCTTGGACTTGAGTTATCCGGCAGATGGGCATGAAAAGCACAAAAGCATACAAAAGCAATGAACTTGCTGTTTCGGGGGCCAACGCGTTTTACAGACTCAATGCGTAATTCCCAGGCCTCATGACCAACGTTAGATATGTTGAAAATTGTTGAAAGAGACGGAGCCTTCTTACTTTCTTGCATTGCTCACACAATCAACTTCTGACAATCCGCGCATTTGGAGAAGTTACACTTTGGACCATCTAGAAATTCCCAATGTTCGGTTCCTTTAGGCTTGACGATGCTTGTTAATCCAAATGTCAAAAGAGAATCAGAGACTGAGGGCTCAAGGTTGAGAAGTCTGGGCGCCAGAGACATGAGATGCCACAAAACATGTCACTGCAGAAATGTACAAAAGTGTGGGCGACATGATGGCGCCATGAACCACCATTGAGGGTGCCCTGAAATGAAAACATGTTTTCGAAAACTCCGCAATGTCACGGAACAAGCGTCCGATAAAAAGGTCCTTGCAAGGTTTTTGTTGTGGTCAGTAGGGGTCCCAACAGGGCCACAGGCGCAGAAAGGAAACGGATCTGGCCTAGCAACGTGCAATAGAAGTCAATAGAACCTCTCAGTGGTGGCGTAGGGCGCTGTGTTTGACACAGTGGCGAATGCTCAGCATTCTCTGCATCAGTCCGCAAAGGTACTCTTGAATCTGGTGGAGACAAGTTCTGCTGCAGCCTTTGAGTTCACGTGCTGGCTTTCTCCGTAGCAGGCTCTTGGGGATGGGCTGGTTGGCTAGCCTCCTCATGACTTGCTTGCACTTTACCTAAGGTACAGCACGCCATCGCTTACCTTAATCGCAATTGCGAGATGGCGCTGACCCTACCATCGGCCTCCTTGGTGCTTGCTTGGGCCACCTTGCGCCTGCTCCTGTCCCTGTTGGCTGGAGGAGGCTGATCGCTGTGCTCGGATGCCCGTTATGGTCTCGGGACAAGGGAGACGTAGGCCAGCAGATTCCGTCGCTGCTAGCGGCTTGCGATCTCACGCCCTTCAACTTGCTCCTCTTTGTACAGTGCAGCTTTGCTTTTTCTTCGTTTGCTGTTTACCCGGCTGCGGGCTACTTTGACTTCGGCATCCTCCGCTTCGGTGCTTGGATTGCTGTGCTGCTTTCCGCGTCATCCGTGTACGAAGGGGCATCCTCATCAAGTTGCTCCGCTAGGACAACCTCAACCATGCTGCCCCTCTCCCTGTCGCCATTTTCATCCGGTAGCACCGCAAGCCTATCTGGGCACCGTGATGGGTTCATCTTCCGTCTTTGAACCCAGCCTCCCTACACGTATCCCTGGAGTGCCCCAACCGCAGGGTGTCCACACAGTGCTCTTCCGCAGAGTGTCTTGGTCCCTACTCTGTCCAATGATTGCCGCAGAGCGCCCAAACCATACCAAGTTGGGTAAACACTTGTACTTTGTTTTTGCTGGTGTCTGCGGCAGTGGCATGTTGAGACAAGGTTGTGCTTTTGTATTGCTTCGACAAACTACATATAATTATGGCTTTTTGGTGAAAAAACTGAACAAAGAATGCCTTCTTCAAATACATACCTACACATGGTCTCTCAAAAATACACCCGAAATGCAGCCATACGTACATGTTGCGTGTTTGTGTTTTCTCAGCTTTGGTGGTCCTGGCCTCCATCTTGTGTGAATTTGTTCTCCGGACGGGAAGGTTCAGCCGCGGAATGGATTGACTGTTGTTCGTTTTCAGTTTCCAAAAACGGCTGAAACTTCTTCCAAAAACGCTTGGGATCTGAAATTATCATGACGGCAATGAGGATGACAGACAGGGTTTGTGGCATTCTCTCCAATACATCATCTTGGATTCTCGGGGCGTCAAAAAGATAGGAACCGCAAAAACTGAAGATGCATTCTACCGGCACCCGGCCTCACACGCGTGGGGGGAATCTCCAGGCTCTGCTCAGGCGCCTGCAGACGCAGTCTTACTGCAAGCTTACGATACCTGAGGTCTCCGTGGCCTGATACCTGCACACAGTCCTGACAGAACAGACCAATTACAATCGCCTGCGCTTTCTTTCGTTACGTAAGGACGCTTGACACCAACAGCTCGGCTGCTCGTACGGTCCTGATCACCTGTCGGTGAAGGGATCGTCCCCCCAGGTTGATGTGGTATGCAATGTTGAACTGCGGCGCAAAAGAAGCAACACAAAGTTGTACAGAGGGAAAGATTTTACGTGCTAATCCTGTTATAGATCTCCCACGGGCGAGCGCACCATGGCCACATAAAACCAGACTCGCAGCGGTACATCGCAATCCTGGCTTGCCAAGCTTGACTGCTTAAGCACCTTGCAGACTGACTTGCCAGGACTTGTTGACGACATCTCAAGTCCTTCCACGACTCCAGGGAAAAGCCTCAAGACAAGCGGAAGTTCTTTAGCAGCCTCATCTTTACAGGGGCTTACAAAGAATTCATGAGGCAGGTCATGGCATCTCGCAAGCTCAACAAACCTCATGCAAAAACTTCACTTTACTTGCTGCCGTGTCACTGTAGATCAGGTAAGAAAACAGGACGAGGCTCACTGGCAGCAAAGCGCCTAAGCTCTAAAAAGCCAGGATCGGTGACAGAACAGCTCCTGCACGCAATTTACGATTTTCATGGCTGGCGCACAGCTTGACTGAGCTCCATGCAAATTATGCACCCAAAGAGCATGACCCAGCGGGTTATGCTTGCCTCAACAACCTTGGTACACACCAAACTTGATCATGCTGGTGGGCTGGGACTACGCTTCCGATGATTTGCACGCCCAAGGAGTCTGTAGCCCATATCAAGTCAAAAGATGTCTGTCTGGTTCACTTTTAGAATTGTGAAGTTGCGCAAGCGTCTTTCCGCGTGTAGCAGTGAAGCCTTGATACTTGTACAAGTGGCAATCTAGGCTTTTCAGTAAGGATGTTGATAGCAGCCCAGACTTGCAGGACAGACAACTCTTGAGAGGAACCAGCCCACACTGACACAAAACTGTCCCAAAAGTTGCGCGGCTGCCAAGTTCTACTTTGTTGTCGGTGTAGCTGCTTTGCTTCAACCTGGAGAACCCTTTGTATAACA